ACCATCACAGCCACCAAGATTTTGTAATAAAGGCGCCTTTTTTTATTCACACACTCGCATCAAGTTTTGGGTTCCCAGAGGATGTCATCCATATAATCAGATCAACATGGCCCAATATAAAACTAGTTGAGTCACACACAGAAAGGGACAATGCACATATAAGTCAAGCACATTTATTCAATGACTACTTTGAAAAGTTCTTACAATCACCCCTGTACAGGAATAGAAATTGAATAGTTCATACACTCACCCATGTACAGGAATACATGTAGAAATATACAGGAATAGAAATGATACAAATAACAAGGGAAATACCATGCTCTATTTCCTCTAACATAAGATATACAATTTACAAATTACCATACTGGAGATGGTAGCCTGTGTTTTGCAGACCAATACAATGGACCGGGTACATAGCATATAGAGGTGACAAGTTAGGCTGGGTGCCATCTATTTTGTAACAGGGGTCCTTGAACTCGCCAACCCATGTCAGGGGAGTGCAGGGACCCATGTTATAACACAGATGTCACTCAGGCTAATGACAAGTTGGCACAAAATACTCTATGAAGTGTCAAGCTTACCTCCTTTGAAGGCTGGCCCATTGTGTCTGTGTATTGGTGGGGTATGTGGTTCACTACAACGTTGGAGAACTGTCTGAATGCTGGCACGTGTCTGGTGAGGATTCGACTACCAAGGATAATGAAGTCTCTCCGCAGATCAGCCCAGGTGTCTGGTGTAGGTAGAGAATCCCCAATCTCGTACAATGGCAGCGGCTTGATGGGTTCATCATCTGGCAGGTGGTGGGCTGATACTCTGTCCTCTACTGCTTCATGGTGAGTCCAGTGGATAGATTTGTTCCTGTTGGTTTAAACTGGTGGTGTGTTGTGACGTAGAAATCGAGGTTGTCAAAGATGATGGAATATGTTGGAGGTGGTGAGGATGGTTAAGGGCTGGGGGTGTCGTCAATGGAAATGTTCAGAAAGTCAACTTCAAGATCATCCATGTCTTCACTTGTTACTTGGAAGGGGGTTGGCATGGACTGTTCAACTGGTGAAGGGTTGTTGTTGTGGTCTTGGTTGTGTGGTGTGTCCGTTTTCTGTGTGTCTGTTTCCTGTGATTGTTCTGCGTAGTACAGTGTTCTGTGGCTCTCTTCAACTCCTTCAGTCCCTCTCCACACATCTTCGCCATCTGCTCCTGTTTCAACCTGGCATTCCCCTGGCTGGTGGTGATTCCCATTTTACTCAGCCGGTTGAAGACAGCCTTCTTCGCCCCACCGTACTGCAGCACAGCATAGTAGTATGCAAATGCTGCCAGTCTAGGTTCACGGCCACGTAGTGCCACAGCAGCACTTGCACTTGAGTGGGGTACAGATTGCTTAGTTATTGTGTCCAAGACGGAGAGGGAAAATGGTGCAAGTCGCTTCAAGTCACTGTGGAGAGCTTTGATGGAGAAGTTTTCTAGCTGGTGGGCTGTAGACCTCTGGAGAAGGAACATGTTGTTTGTAGCTGTCAAGTTCTGGCATTCTGAATTTACGATGTGCAGCATTTCGCTTTTGAGCTGGTCTGACAAACTGTCACATGTCATCATCAGTCTTGCTGCAGTCTTGAACTGCCAGGTTTTCCACAATCCCTGCAACCTGGTCCTTGCACGTGACATTGTCAGGTCTGTCGGGCCGTGATGGATACGTGGCTGTGATCTGAAAGAACAGATATTTCTCTTGATCAATTAACCTAATAATGGTCCATATGCTTTCATTATAAAAATACTATATTAATAAAATTTTTCATACATAACAGCACATGTTTAAAATGTTTACTCCAACACCATGGACATGTCATTCTTCTTAAATGTAGGAAAATGTCATCCTCTATCATTTGTGTTGATAAACAATGATTTTGCACCTAGACTAAAAAGTCACACCGTGTCGTGAGCTCTGGAAGAAATCAGTAGTTCTTGCACAGCTGCACAGTAAGCTTTTATACTCACTACTGTAATTCACTTTATGTTCACGGTAGCAAAATTTCAGACTGAGAAAAATGGACATGTTCACGGTGGCAACAGGTGCAGGAAAAAGAAATTATTTGTTAACTGTATTGATAAGTTCACTGTACACAAGTGACAGTGAAAACAGTGAACATAAAAGTACAGTGAAAAAATCAGGAATTACAGTATGTTGAGAAAACAGTAACAGCAAGACTCCTGAATTTGTTCTGCTTGAGTTCAAAATGTGTTATGTAGCCCAGGTAATACAAATTCAGTATATTTTGTGAATCGTGCTATAATAACAGCAGTAATAATTTGTCATCGTACTGATTAAAAATTACTTGTGATATCAATACATTGTCTAAATCAATGATGCTATGATCAACACAACAATTCCCATAGATGGCACTATCTACCACGGCGTTGCATGGAAAAATTACAATATTCTAAAGAAATGTGCGACTAGTGGGGGAGGGGGGCTACTACTCTATGTTGCACCGCAAATACCAGGGCACCAAAACAAATTTATGATATACAACGTTATAGATCGGGACTTGATTTTTTGAAGCCTTAGTATCTTTCTGTAGACAAAAGAATATGAACTAGCTCACCTTTGTCTGACTGGTTCTTGGCGGAGGAACTTTCAATCCCTTTGCGCTGCAAAGCTTTTTCAGAGCCCGTGGTGTTTTGGTGGGGGTCGGCTCGCGAGAACGCTTGTCTTTCTCGGCGGGCTCAGGCGTTTTTGGTAGGGGTATCTCTGGAACTGTTGGCAGAATCCTTGGCTCAAGCGACGGGGTCGTTCTCTGAGAAGATTCCGGCGTTGTTGTGGCCTCCAATCCTCGGTCGTCGATTTCTTGCCAGGCTTTCAGCTGCTCCAAGGCTTGCTCGATTTGCCCCACACTTCGCGTGCACTTCTTGCATAGCCGTTCGGACGCACCCTCCCTTTGGACTAGAACTACGCCGATAGCAGACAGCCGGTCGCAAAGTTTTCCCTCGTTGGCATCCTTTGGTTGGTCAAAAATCTTCCGAAATGACTGTAGTCTCCCGTCTCCGCGAAGATTGACGCTGCAAAGACGACAACAGTCGGCATAGTTCGGGGGAGAGGGATTGCCTTTCCCCGGGAGCTGTGCCGACGCCATCGCCGCAAACTGCCGATCTTTGTGAGGATTTCATCGAACGGCATGCTGTCCTTCTTAGCATGGAACTGCTAACAAGTGTTACCAGCGCGATTTCGCGATGATAAGACGAAAACAAGGCCATAAAAAACATCTTGCTACAAGAAATAGCTGCACTCGACGTACATGTGTGAATCTCGCGGCAGATTTTTTGACCCCGACAAAACAACAGGGTCACGTGAGAAATTAGGCGATCTGATTGGACAAAGGCGTCTACGTGCCATCCAATCAGAAAAGGCTCCGCCAACCGGGCCTCACGTGGCTTAGCTCATTTCGTGACATCATCACCAGACGGAAAGAGTGTAACCGTTCCCAGACGATTTTTTCGGGGTAGCCGTTATACAAATCGGATGGCACCCAGGCTACGTTGGTTTATGTCCTAAAAGAGGAGTAAGTTGTCTCTAAGGCATATCTGCTAAGTAACGCAAGTAAATAAGTTACGTGATATTTCTTGACTCTTTTGGTACAGGGAAGCGGGTAACTTATACAACGTTTTGCGTGAAAGGGGTAACTACTAGTACTTAAATTTCTGTGCAACAGTGCCACTATGCGACTCTTACGTACCTTTCAAAGCATTTACTCCAGTGAGGTCACGTGATGACACGGTGATGATGATTGAAATGGCGTTTTGGGAAAAACGCCGGTCAGTGAGGAGGTTCGCTTTGGTTCAATACATCTAAGTATTTTAACGTTTCATACCTCAGAAGACCATGAATACATGAGATAAGAAAGGGAGGTTTAATGTTGGCTGTTGTTGCAATTTTCTAGCATTCTAGTGATCACAGAATAAGTGACGAAAGTTTTGTGAAAACACAACATGCGCCGCGTCCACCTTGCTGTCCCATCTTTTCGAAAGATTTTCCGCTGTGTCGCTGGGTGCAAACGTATTTCCATGCATTCAGTAAATGATAGACATGTATAGGGTCATATTCATATGATTCTTTATTGCTCATGAACACTGATTTTAGTGGCATACCTCGAAGTGCGGTCATGTCGCCAACTGACCGTAAACTGCCCCTTCAACTTCAAGTAAACCGGTAACCTTGCGATACCATATGTGGAATGTGGACTACAGGGTAGAAGAAGAAATGGTCCCAAAAAGGTGGATGATCCACCAGTTTGGTTAGAAAAGGGATTATATATTTGGAAACTTCCTTGACTGAACCAAACAGAGACTTCCGGTGGACAGATTCTAATCTTCACCGATCGGCCTGGCCTGGCCGCCCGGTAGGGGGGTGGTTAACGTTGCGCGTGCGGGGAAGTAAATGAGGTGTGACTGTTACTGTTACTTTTGGAGAAGCAGGGCAAAATGTTGAAGAGTATGTAACCCTGGCCTGAGTCTAATTATAAGGGGTTGGGCCAAACGTGTGTTACTGTGAATTCTGGAGAAGCAGGGCAACATGTTGAAGAGGCTGTTGTTACTGTTCAGCTTGAGTGAGTGTCGATTATCCTTTAATTCCATCGAGTGCAAAATTAGACTATTACCTTTTCTGTGAAGTTGCTGATTCCCAAGGGAGAGGTAAAATGAACCCATGCTGTTGGTTTTATCTGTGGTAATGGACAGTCATGTTATTTTAAAAACCTAATGGACTGATGGGCTATCTATATTGCTATCTTGTAGTTTTGTTACCTTTTTTGTGAAGTTCTGAAATGCCCTGTGTTTTAGCATGTCCAATAGTTTGCCACTACTGGCTTCACTGTTGATCTGTCTAAAGGGGTGTTTTTGGACCGAGGCGTTTTTGACTCTTTATCTTCTTTATTGCTAAATTGTTTCGTCAATTCAATAAAGATGATGTCAAAAACACTGCAATCATTTTTGAGCCCTGTTTGTTTTAAATAAAATCACCCGTTTCTGGGATCCAGGACCAGCTGCTTAAGAGTGCCTTGTGATGTCAGAAGTGTCCTGACAAACGATCCGTCCTTCCGGGCTACTGAGATGTGTCCGCCAATGTCACTCCAGTACACATTCCCACCAGCATGGTCCAATCTGCTGCACGTGTAAGCTACATTTAACAACAGATGGATATATCATATGTTGCAGTCAGTAAATAAGAAAAGATAGAGGGGGATACATTTTTATTCAAATTCCGTTGAAAAAACTCTCGACATTTAATATGAAGATTTCACAAATAGTGACATTTTATTCAAAACTTGAAGGTGGATGTTTTCAACTGACCAGAACAGCAAGTAAGTGATTTTCCTTTCAATTTAGTCTACAATGAAAGCTCCATGCAGTAGTACAAGCGTATACATGTGAAATTCCATAAGGCATACTGTACAGCGATGAGCAGTAACAAGAAAAAGATTGGCGAATATCACCCACTGTAGCCTCGCAACTCCACAATGGTCTCTGTGTTACTTCCATCACGACGAGCCCGCCCGATGCTTCCATATTCCGCCCAGTACATGAAGTCAGTCATAGGGTCGTAGTCCAGTGACAATGGCGACAACGATAACGCATTGACCTTTGACCCGTCCTTGATTTCAATTTGAAATGTTCCATCGAATAAGGTAGAAACCAACAGGAAAGGTTCTCCTATTTTTGATGAAAGTAGACATGGAAAATCGTTTTTGTTGTTGTTTACAAACATACATGTATGAAGTTCAATATACAATTACATGTATACATGTCGGTTTGTAAAATATTTTCTTACGAAAGTTCGAAAATTTTGGACGTTTATATTATGTAATTGGGTATTTGCTCTTTTTTATAAACATATGGAGTTCTATGCAATTACATTACATACTAGTCAGATGATTGTAAAACATATTCTCCCAAAATTCAATCATTTAGGTCGTCTATACAGAATTGTTGTGAATAAGATGTTTTAAATATCTTTGTAAGTATATGATTAAACAAAAACGTTCATTTTTAAATGCTTGTACAACATTTAAAAATGGACGCACCTGTACACTCCACGCCTGCAGCTTGGTCGTACCTACAGTTTAGATCGTGAATCATCCATCCTGGGTACGAGCAGTTGAACAGGCTAGTCTCGTCCCCATTACAATGCAGGTCATCCATGAAGATTGGCCCTCTTCCTATAAAGGAAACGACACCAATTATATCAGGCAACATTGAGATATGGCGAAGAGAAATTCAAGTAGTACTTTAGCTTATGTTATTGAATTTCAAGGGGTGTAGTAAAATGTTAAACTTTATTCCAACACAAAGGTTACACAAAGGTACAATTTTCAACGGCCACGAGTTATGGTTACAGCCACGTGACCCTTATTCACAAGACTTTACGGATACGTGACATAAGCAATTTATCACAAGTGCCAGGGATCGGAGTTTATATCGTCCTCCGTCTCTGTTAGGTTATGGTTGGAGTGCCCTGATATATATCTCCTCTTAAAACGTAGTCTTTATCAGAGTCCAGTATTCTAACTTTTTCCAATAAGTCGATATGGCCCAGTGATTTAATGTTAATGTGTTGACAAAATTCCTATGAGAGCGAGCTGGGGCGTTTGTGTTCTAGAAATCTGGTCCTCAAGGTGCGTTCTGTCTCACCGAGATTACGTTTTGAAGTGATTGGTAATTCATTATCCTGATGAAGGCGAGAGTGGTCGTTTAAAATTTTGTCTCTGTGTGATCTTTTTGTTGGAATTAAGTTCAACATTTTACCAACACAGATGAACTTTCGTGATAATTTCAATGGTTATTTATCTTTTTTATGTTCATACACTTACAATTATGTTTAGGCCATGGGTGTACATTAACGATTATTAGTAAAAGTAACCGGCGACAAAATTTAAAAAAAAATGTATCAACACTTGTTTCTGCTCCGTCACACACTTACAGATGTTTAGCAATAAAGTTGATTTGATCAAGTCTATATGGCCTAACGTCGAATACATGAATGTATGTAAAATGAATATAGCATAGCTGTTGTGTTGTATATAAGGCCATGTTGTTTATACTTAGTACATAAAAGAAAATTAGTTGAAAGTAGGTAAATCTCACCTGGGCCAAAATACGCATTGTTACGAACTTGTTGAGCACTTGGGTAGCCAAGCATTTTGCAAACAACGTCTGCATCCTTCATGTCAAACTGGTTGTGACAAACTGTGCCCCAGGTCATACTGTCGGCCGGTCGGACTTCCACACGTCCTTCACTCTGACTGGAACCTCCGACAAGACGGATTCTGCTGTGACCTGAACGTGAATTTTTTAACAAGGCTAAGAGTATATACGTCGATGAAGGTTAGACATCCAGATAAAAAGATACGCCAAAAGGCACAAGCATCTGTTTGAGTAACTGCTTTTTTTTCCAAAATCATATCCAGTTGCTTGAGTAACTGCTTTTTGGCGTATCTTTGAGTACATAATTGTCCCGTATACTATAATGCGTATGATGAATCATCAATATCGCGTATTAACCTCATAGATACAATAACCATTGCCGACGAGGCTGGACCCTTCATGCATTTAAACAACCAATAGTTTTATCACCTAAGGCCATAGCAAGTAGATACTATGGGTGACAGCCTCCACAGACTCCATATTTAATGCTATAGGTCGAAAAACAAGGCAGGCGGGCCAAAAACATGAGTCCTACTTTTACCAATGTTGGCATCATAACCCTTGTTAAACAAGAAATAACGCCTATATTGTGCCAAGGTTACTACCAACTATTACAACGTCACTAAAACAACTTTAAAAAAATAAAAGTTTTTCAATCATTGTGCATGGATTTGATTTAGTGGGATCAACGCATATAAAAGGAATGAAAAACATATGTACATCAAAGTAAAGGACAAAACAAGAATTCCGAGATCCTATACATCCATGTGATATGTGAGCTTTTTGTAACTGTTTTTATTTGTCTCATTAACTATGTAAATAAGGTCGTAGTTACCATAGTCTAGTTTAATCTATTCTTTTAAATTCAAATTACACAATCATGTCTTTAAAGTTCCTCTCCTCGACTTCACTTCAACATGTCCTCTTGAATTATGCAAATGACCTCTACATTAACATAAAACATGCACAGTGATGTTAACCTTTAAGTAACTTACACATATGTCACAAGGTAAAATTCCCATCATTTACCAAAAAGGAATCACAGAATTTTCACATAAATTATGCAAATTAGGTCATCATTTGCATAATTAGTATCTGTTGATGTACACGATGGTCAAATTTGGTCCCAAATATTCCAACCTTTTTTCGAACCGAAGCATGTTCGATATGACGTCATTCGAAGCGATCGTTCGATCCGGGGTCACCCGCGGTCATGTACAGCAAACCCGCGGCTTCAAGCCCGTTTTTACATGGGTACCACCTAACAGAAAAAAATCCACCTTTTCACAAATATAAACCGATTTTGGGACAGTACATCTATGCCCTATTTTATAGGGGATATGTAACATGTAACGAAGCTACTGCTGTTATCGTGTGTGACCTTGAAGATCATAATTATTGTTAACGGGGATACGTATAAGTTACCCCCTGCACTTACTCACACGGCCTGACATGCGTGCAAACATGGTATTTCAACCGCAACAAAAACAAGTTCAATTTACCACAAAAAGGTTATAAATTGTAGGCAAGACAAAAATCAAGACCTGTGTCGGACGGATTTTTTAAAGGTGGCGGCATTCTGAAATTATTGGTATTGGAAGTTTAAAACAATGCATTTTTTTACCTCATTTTAGACCTTATCAACACTTAAATAAAGAAAACTGTCCGACTCAAATCTTAATTTTGTTTTACTGTTCTTTAAAATGCAAACATTTCTGGGAGATTTGGGGTCGATTTAAATCAGTAGTTTGGTTATCTACGTCGATTGTACTAGAATAAGCATTCAACGCGTTGATAGTGACGTTACACACATTTAAGCATTGTAATAAAAACAACAACATTTGGTATATGCAGTGCTGATTTTTATCATATGTGGACAAGAGAGTACCCGTGAAACTGTTAATTATTGTTTAAGAAAAGGTTTGCCGTTGAGACTAGCTCCCGAGATACCCTTCCGTGGAATTGGAAATTTGGCACTACGAATCGACCTCCGTGCTAAATAGATTACATGACTGTATAAAAGCACTTATTATTTAAAATACTGTAATTATAGAATTTCCTCCCTAATTATGCAAATTAAGTCTTTATGTGCATAATTTGCATCTAATTATGGGCATCTCTCTCAGGTACCTACCAAGAATGATGGTATGTAGGTAAAATACGTTGTTTCTGTCTGGACTTATCGGCTGAAAACGATTTCACCAGAAAGTCACCTGCAGTTCCAGAACAAGCTGCTAGGGTGACCAAACCCACCCCACTTATTCCAGACAGCAAAAGCTATCCGTCACAAAAAAGACAAGACCATAGCATGTTCAGAACAGAAGATATACAAACCGGAAGTTCTGCTGCAGTACCAAGGTCGGCCACAAGAAGGCCCATATTTGACCTTGACCTTTGTGTACCTTAGACCTACCAGGATACTAAATATCATCACAATCCATAAAGGCGTTCTGAAGTTTTGTTGACCACAAAGTTGTGGAAACACATAGACAGACAGACGCACCAAAAACAATACCTCCATTTTTCATGGAGGTAACAATAAATCAGAGTATTATCTTTTCTCTTCCTATCTGCAATCCATGTTCAGGGATCGCAACAAACATCTTTGGCCATTTTCGGCATGTTGACCACTGTCAAAGGGCAACAATATGTCTTTTTTTTCAAATATCAGCTGAAAATTAAGTCGCGTGCATGCTGATGTCAACCATAGAAATTACTTGCTGTGGCCTAATAAGACTCTTTATTATGACAAGAAAAAAATTATGATAATCTTATAAGGTCTCTTGCAGAAAGCAGGCATCAAGAACAACTCGTACAACACATTGAATTATTAAAGTTAGCTGTTCCGATTACAGAGCGCTGTTTAACCCTATCTAGACCGGGCTTTTTGGGGCTTTGTGGGACTCATTCGTCCCCCCCCCCACAACTCGCGAACGGTATATCGTATGACCTCCAAATCTTTTAGAGGATGGTGTACTAGTAAACATTTATGTTAACTACAATTATTATGTCGTTATGGCGTAATATGACGTCATAATGACGTCATTAATGTAATTTTATTGGCCCAAACCGAATAGATAAGTTATTCACTAAAAACTCAATAGTATACAACGTGTAACAAAAAGAGTTCATAATGGAATATTAGGGTGTACTAAGACTTCTAATGCCTAAAACAACACCAGTGACGTCATAAAATAACGCCATGCATATTTCAGCAATCCGCCATCTTGGATTATAAAGCTTGAAATTTTGAAAAGAGTTTTTTTTTTCAAGATAAAGGTTAAGATAAATTGAAATAGACTTAAGACGTACATTATGAACCTTTTTGTAAAAAGAAATGGAAGTAATGAAATTTTAAGGAAAATAACCTGTTTGTACCTTATCTAATGATAACCACAAGTCTTTATTTGATACACAATACACATATGTACTTTCCTGCAAAGATTGAAATCAAATATCATCCTACTTTGTCATTTCTAGAGCTTCAAACATAGCCCTATATGGTAATTTTTGTACATGTCCAAAATATGGCCTACTTTTAGGGACAAGTGCACTACAACGACACAAGACCCCAACCTCCACAAGTATTCATTTGATAGACAAGACATGGTGTTACTTTGGGCAAAGCACCTTACCAGATTGCTTTCTTTCTTTTCTAGATATTGTATTCTAGACATGGCTGAAAACCATATTCTTCCTAAAATTCAAAATTTGACCTACTTCTAAGGACAGCCACGTGACAATGAAAGAAGACCTTAAAGTTTGCAAGCATGCATTTTATAGCACATATGATTATAAATCTATGATTCAAGTTTGAAGCAAAAAAAATCACCATCTTTGGACTTACAGCACTTTGAAGTTGGGCAGAAATAACACATTTTCTTAAGCCTCAAACACTGTATTGTTTTAGGGTTGCCCATGCCAGGTCCTTTAAATGAACTTCTTGAAAATTTCAAAGCTATTCTAGAATAGCGGATAAGTTGGTCTTTTAGGCCTATATTTTGTTTTTCCATGATATTCAAGCACTTGCTCGTAATTGTGCCTTAAGCTATGCCAAATTTCATGTTTTCAAATGTCTAAATCAGGGAAAATGGCCCCGAAACTTATTTGGGCCGTTACCATGGCAACCATGGGTGTTGGGCCATGGGCCAAGTACTATCACTGTGCACAGTTTGAGCCAAATCGATTTTTTACCCCTGCCACCATTGTTCGATCCTTACAGACATTCGCTCTTAAAGCCTTCACTGTTCTCATCAAACGCCAAACGTTGAAATGGTAACATATTACCAAATGTTCAATGTACGTACCGCAAACAACGCCGACGTCATCACCATGCTTACAGTCATGAACCCACCATCCCCTGTGCGAGCAGTTAAACAGGCTACTCTCTGTCCCATCACATTGTAGGTCCTCTAGGTAGATCGGTCCCGTTCCTAGAGATTCAAAAAGTTAACAGATCATCATCAGATGTAGTCATTACAATAATCTGCAAATTTTGTAGATTGGGTCATACATTTTGAAGGTATTATAGCGAGGGTCAAAACCCGCCTCACGCGCAACTGCATAATGTCTACGTGCAAAAACTTGGGCAAATTTTGGGGATCTGTAAGTGGTGAGTACCGTCTCCGTACGGATTCCTACGGATTTGCTGCATGCAGACACGACCTAGCACTTAAAGTGTATGCAAAACTTTCTCTGCGTGCGGGCTGCGGATTCACCACCCGTGTGAGCGATGCGCACGCAATGTACGTATCGGTACGTACCGTACGTAAGCAGCACGTGTAAGTACGGCCTGCATACGGTTAAGTAGCAATAGCTCAGGTAAAGTAGAATCGCTCGTGAGTTGTAAACACGTTACAACTCAGTTCACACTTGCGTAACGAACGATGCACGCAACCGCTCACGGCCAGACGTGGCGTGCAGACCAGATACTTACGCCTTGCGCAACCGTGTGAGTGGCGTACATTGACGTACTGCTCACACCAATCCTTTCCCACGTTTTCAGAAAAACGTAGCAGACGTGGCCTCTCCAAAAAAACAAACCCACGGACAAAAAACACGGCGGGTCGTGAACAAAAGGTAATACCTTTTGTACACGCCGATGCATATGATTGTCAACATGTAGGTTTATTAAACCTGTATTTATTTAGCAACGTCGGGCAAAATGTTCAATAAAGGTTATCTTGAAAGTTCATCTGTGTTGGTAGAATTCATTATATTGAACTGCGAGGTAAATCAAGAAAGTGATACCTTCGCCAAAATAGGCATTAGGGCGCACTCGATAGACATTCGCGTAGCCCAGCATCCTGCAGACAACTTCTGCATCCTTCAAGTCGAAACCGTTGTGACAGACTGTGCCCCATCTGGAACTGTCGGCCGGCCGGACTTCCACACGTCCCTCGTTTGGACCGGAACCTTCGGCAAGACGGATTCTGCTGGAATCTGAAAATGAAACAATCATCACTATTAACGATATCCTAGTAAATACATAATTCTTTTTATTACCTTCGCCAAGAAGGTTATGTTTTCAGTAGCGTTTGTCCGCCTGTTTGTCTGTCTGTCTGTTTGTCTGTGAACAGCATAACTCAAGAAGCTTAATATGCATTGTCATGAAACTTAGTAGGTGGGTAGGTCTTCATGAGAGCTAGACATGATTAGATTTTGGCCCCCCTGGCGGCTTTCCTAGGTACTGCAACAGAACATCCGGTTTTGATATCTCGCGATCTGGACATACTAAGGTCACAAATTTTTGGTGGTAGATAGCTCTTGGAGTAGGAAAGAAGTGACATGAGTTTGGACCCCCTAGCAGCCTGTTGTGGAACTGCAGGAGCATTTGTTGAAAAATTTTTGAAGAAGGATAACTCAAGAACCAGTTGGCGGATTGTCATGATTTTTTATATGTAGGTAGCTGAAGTGATGCTTGACATCATCAATGACAAATCAGGAGCTAATTTGCATATTAATTAATGAGGACATTCTATAAATCTGCTTTGTTCGATAATAGGACTATGAAACACTTGTGACATGTAATTGAGAACGAAAAAAACCACCCGAGGATATGTATTATGTAAATGAAGACCTAATTTGCATAATTAGGGAAATTTTCATAATTTCATAGCTGTAACTGCTGGGAATTTCATACTTGCCACATTTGGAAGTTAAGTGAAGGCGAACATCAATATAATTTATTCAAACCATTACCTCATTTGCATAATCTATGAGCAATTGCTATAATAGCCTTTATGTTAAGATAAGGCTGTCATTGGCTGGAGAATATGATCAACTGATACAATCCATGCAAATGAGGCTCTTCTTTGTAAAATCAATCATTAAAATTGTATAATTGTAAATTGTAAAATTGTCACCCGCAAGGGTTAACAAAATTTGGCGAAGGTATGAGATTGTGGAACTCTTGTTAGAACACTGCATTGCTGTTCATCATGTTACGATGCTAAATTTTATTCCAACATAAAGGATCAGATTTTTAGCAATCACTGTCGCCTTTATGATAATAATTATTGACCAATCAGTTGCATACATTAAATCGGTGAGAGCAACGGTTACAGACAAGTGACCTTATTCACTTCACGGATACGTGACGTCAGCAAACGTAATAGAGACGGAGGACGATATAAATTCTCTGTCACGTTTGATGAATTGATGACGTCACATATCAGTTAAGTCTACCGTCTTTTAGTGGCCAATACAAAACGTGGATTCGCCAGGCCTCCGTGGAGGTAATTTGTCGTGAATCACCATCACATGTCCTGAAACATCTAAATTGACTTATTTATTCAGAAATTGTTACATAACAATACATCTAAAGATGGCGGGCTTATAAACGTAGCCGATTTGAAATGTAGTTGTAAATACACGAATTAAAAATCATAATTCACAGTATTGTAGTGTCCATGCTATCTGTGTCTATGCGCAATTGTCAATTGTCTGTATGAAATTATTAAGGGAATGTATTTCTTGACATCTCCAACTCATGAAGGCTTTTGACGTAACTGTGGTGTTTGTATAAAGTCCGGGTACGGGTATACAAGTTACCTGGCAAGATATTACAGGAAATTGACCAGGGCTGGGGCGAAACGGAAACAAACATTTTAACTGAGTTGAGGGCGGCCCATGATGAGAAGGACCCATTGCGAATGAAACAGCGGGAAGCTTGTCTTTCGTCAGAAGTGCGTTAGGCATGTGGTGGACATACTAGTACGCTGAGTGCGTCCGAAATACGCTTGGTCTGCGCAATGCATTCGAACGCCATACGGATGACACATACAATCTATGCGGTGAATTCGTTATTCATACGCTACATGTGCGTCACAGTAACGTTACATATTGTGCGTACAACAGAACTGTTTGTGCGCAACTCATTAACAATGGCGATACACAGAATCGAAGTGTGAGCAATAACATTTAGACGCCAACATTATCAAAACATGAGTCTGACCACAATTAGCGGTCAGACACTTATCATAGAGACTGTAAAATTTAACTGTAGCTGTGGTGCTTTAATGACAAAAGGACGGTCGCACACCTCGTGACTTCTAGTGGTCTCTTCTAATATAGCCTCGCGCTTTTGGGAGGCATCAGAATTTCGCCATCAAGGTTAGTTATATAAAAGGAAAATAGATTCTCTGCTCTTTGTAAGACGTTATATTTCCGGATGGTTTGAAATCTGAAAAATCCCCTGTTTCGAGTCAAAGTATTGATTGAATAACAACACGACATTGGCTCAATTTCTATAAGAATAGTAAGTGGAGGTTAGGGAGTTTGCAGCGACGACATTTCTTGTCACGGGTACGCCCAGAGATGTAGAACGGACTACTTTCTCTCGGAAGCAAAACTTTCTGGAACTCTTGTGGCTTGGCGGTTGGTTCGAAATGCGAAATTTCATTTTTCTGTAGTGAGAAGTTAACTCTCTGGTGGGATCGCGAATGTGATCAACTAACTGTGAAGAACGATGGCTTGTTCCGTCGGCCTTTGCGCGACCTAGCCTTACCATGATCAGAAGTAATAACTTACGATGCGTATCGCGCGGACTACGTTCCTTTCAAACAAAAACAGCGTGCTTACGTAGACCAAGTACAGAGATTTCACCAAAAACGTATCGCCCATGTTCTGACTGGTTCACACTGCACAGCACAGATGTCACTGCTTATAGAAACGCAAATAAAGTATTCTTATGTCTACCCAGTAACGTGCCATCTGAAATGCGGTCCCATTGTACGCTGTACAATTACATAAGACGTTTACGATCGTATTTTTACTATTAGACAATCATCTGAATATTTAGCGATCATACGATGATTATAAGTAGTTTATGAGTTATAGAGGGCCGGGTTTAAAAGCACCTCTGATCTTTGGGTGACCTTTCCCGTCACGATTTGAATTGGGTTTACTTTATCCAGTCCGGGCTATTTTGGTCATCCTGGGGATACTGTACAATTAAAACTTCAATGGTTTAAGTCATTAAAAAAGCCACTTTGAACATGATGATCAATGTTACCTGTGTACGCATGAATACCGTAAACCAGAAGTTCTAACCCTAATAGTTTTATCCTTTATTTATTACCTTCACAAGTTGGTGTAGCACCACTCCAAGTCCCGTTCGGCTGGCAGGTTATATTAGCTGTCCCCCACAGCTGATACCCGGGAATACAGGTGTACCTGACTGTCCGTCCTGATGTAAAGTTACTGTTGTTATCCCTGTTCCCATTGGCCGGCACACCGGGATCCCAGCATTGACCTGCAGTTCTGCCTGGAAAAGAACAATGTAAAGGTTTGGATTTTCTTCCTTTGTCATTTATTTCAGATCTACAATTATGTGTACATTTGCATTATTTTTATCTATTAATCTTCCACTTCCCATACAGTACATTACATAATATTACAGACTAAAAAGTCCTATAGTGTATATCAATGTGATTGTCAAATTTCAAATTAATCATGCCAATTAAGCGTCATTTACATAATTTGCAATTTGTTCTCATCTTCTGGACCCAAGAAACTAATCGTATAAGCCAAAGATCTTACTTAAGTATGAGAACTGGAACCCCTGACGGCTGACACCATAGTCAGATGTAAACCTCAGGAACAGCGTGTTAGATGTGCTGATGATGGGGATGATTTGCGAGCGGTAACCGGTTAACCTAGACATTATTGAATAATAAGGAAAATCTATATTTGACGCACAAACTATTGTAATATTGCCAGGTTTAGGGTAGTTATCGCTATGCAGAGTAAATTCAAGCGTTTAGAGTGTCTTGAATATACCATGTTGATTGGTCATCATTATTACTTCGTGTAGATTTGATTCAAGGAACATAAAATGTATAACTTAAGTCACGGGTCGTTTATGATTTTCCGATCTGCTTAAAACGTGTACGTAGTTTCAGTGAGATGTTTGTTTTTAACTTGACTGATACCTTTGTTGTCAGATGGCGCAAAGCCTTTACAGTTAACATTACCAAATCAAGAATCAGTTCGCACAAAGCTGAAAATAGAAAAAGGTGGCTATAGTCATATACCAGTTACCGGAGAAAAATGTCCCTCATGTCAAGAAACTGTTGAAGATGAATATTAGATTCTTAATTACTTGTTTGTCTATACTACAGATAAACAAAATGAACGAAACACATGTTAAAGCTAGTAAACCTTTTCCAAAGACAAACACGGATATTTTTAATGTACTGAAGTCATACCCCTGACCCCAAATATTTATGTAGGGCCTTACAAAATTTAGAAAGTACTGTAAAACGCGTAACACGCATCTTGTCAATACGACGTTTATAAGTTCACTTTTTTTTCTGAAGTAGTAGTAGTAGTAGAATAAACTTATTGTATTTCTCACTGTACAACGATGGCAACAATGACAATGTGAGCAATACAGTAAGTCTATTGTACAACTGTCAAGCAGTAAAATTCATTCCTTCATTCTAACAATAGTAGTCAGTCTGTACTTAAGTCGGTTTTCTTCTATCGCAAGTCAAACTTCACAAACCTCCGCAACGTCTGTTTATACCTTTCTATCTCTGCAGCATTAACACTGGCTCCATCGTAGATGGTGAGAAAGTCATGACCGTTCTCTGTGTGGAAGCTGTCAAGCGTGAGGCGAATGATGCTTCCTTCTGGTGCAGTGATCGTCCACTCGCAGTGCTCATTGTTGCCATAGTTACCGGGATAGTTTGGTGACGTCACAGGGCCTCCAGAAGGAGCCGTCAGGTTCCCTCCACATCCGCTGGCGCTGGATCCTGTGGAATGAGAAATAACATCCTCAGGTGCAGGTAACGTCACGTCACTATGTAAGCGTGCAGATAAGCTATGTTTTATACAGATTTACCGGGTATATACCTATCAGTATACACACGGTATGGACTTAAATATTGTGTATACTTATTTACTCTTCCCTTTCTTCTCATAGACTCTATGCTTCTGACTGGAGTAATGCTTCTC